GACGTGAGAAGCCCATCGGCCTTTGGGTATCTCTCAGTGTGTCTTGTAGACGGCAAGGAGAGCGTCAACGAATCTATCAAGGCTGGCAAAGTGAACATCTTCTGTGACAGGAAGTGAAAGCAGAACCAGAGAAAACTCCGGAAGTCAGCGCGCCATTGCTGTCAGGCCTCGGAAGCTGTAGGACGACTGAAGCCCCGAGTAAGAAGATACTGTGAGTCTACAAGAGCCAGGGCAGAGGGTGGGGCCATGTGCTCCTGTGACCACAGCAACAGAAGCAGAAGGACCGTGGGTCAGGGAGCCTTGTGCTCCTGCCACTAAGGTGGCTTCCTGTCACCTTCACGCTCGGTGAGGCCCGATCGGGCTGCAGAGCGCCTGTCACACACGTGTTGCTGGGGTCCTGGGAGGTGACTCCCACTCCACCCGTGGCAGCTGCAATTCTTGTCCCCCTTATTTCCCTGTGTAACATCACAATGAGCTCCCCTTTACTTGAGATATTGGGTTAGTCTCTATTCTTCCCAAATCGGATAACTGAACCCTCTTTCCTACCCCCAGCAGGTGGCCCCTGAGGAATTATTCCACCACCACCGCGGGCACCTACCTGGAGTCCAGGACACCCACCAAAACCAGTTCCCTCTAGGAACTGCTAAGTAACTGTGGCCACATCCTCACTTTTGAGGTGACCTTCTTACAAGATGACATGAAAATCACCTCCCTTCTTCCAACAAGCAGAGTACAATAAAATCAATTCAGTATGATCTTTCTTAATTACAATCAAATCCCAGCCCTGTCTTCTTGAGGTTAACATCAGATCCCTTGATTAGAATTGGATTTTGAGTTTTCCTCAAATTCTTCAGTCACAGCCAAGTCTGAGGTTGTACCATTTCAATAAGTGGCTGGCTCCACCTGTGACAAATTGATTCTTTCTACTTCTCCCCAGCACTGAAACACATTCAAATCTTGTCTTTTTCAGTTTTTCACCCAAAATCCAAGATAAAAAATGTATTTTGCATGAAAACCTAGAACATACATATATAAATACATTGAAAATAAAATGTTCACAATATCCTAAAGTTTTCTATTCTCTTTATTTTATTAAAATGTTTGACTTGACCCAAAAATATTTATTATAATATTTTATGACCTGCAGTTTGAGAATTATTGGTGTAGTTTCTCCTTTCTTCAAAATTTCACTTCTCAAACACAGATCTTTCTTGGCTCCAGCAGTTTCTTGTCTTTAACAGTCAAACATCTCGGGAGAGGGTGGTCTGCTCTTCACTTCCTCAGCTCTCATTCACTCTTCAGTTGACAATGTTTTGTCTCTGAAAGTACCCCGGCCTGAAGCTGCCCTCAGGAGGTGTAACATCTTCCTTGACGATAAGCCCTAATTTCCCAGCTATTAGCTAACCTGTGTCCCCAGCATCCTCCCATGTGACTAGCCATTCCCTCCCTGAAAGTTCTCTCTTGCTGTGGCTTCCTAAGGCCTTCTACCATTTCTGCCAGTTAGTATTTAAGAGTCATTTCCTCTGCTCCTCTATGCGTCTCCCCAAGGCCCTTCTCTTTTCTCACTTAATACACCATTCTTTTCTTTAAGGTTTTGTTTTTAGCTGTGCTGGGTCTCTGTTGCTTCACACAGGCTTTCTCTAATTGCAGCAAGTGGGGGCTACTCTTCCTTGCAGTGCACGGGTTTCTCACTGCAGTGGTTTCTCTTGTTGCTGAGCGCAGGTTCTAGGGCATGTTGCCCCACAGCACGTGGGATTTTCCCAGACCAGGGATCGAACCCAGGTCCCCTGCATAGGCAGGAGGATTCTTAACCACTGTGCCACCAAGGAAGCCCCAGTACACTGTTCTTGAGTGGTTTCATTTTCCTCTCATATGCAACACCCGAGAGGCCCTTCTCCTCAGTACAAACCCTTCCTTCTATCCAGTACAAACCCAGGCCACAGACTTTGATGTGAAAGTTTCCAAACTGGAATTTTTGCTCACTTGAAAATCTAAACATTTGAAACTCCAAAGTTTTGGTCTGCTTTTCTGCAGTGATATTTCTCCTCTGATGTTATAAATACCACTGAATGAAAAGGAGAGAAGGCAAGGGGTATAAGGAATGTGTGTGAAGGGTGACAGTGGTGGGAACCTTGCAATATTTGCAGTAGATATTGTGGTTAATCCCCAGCATCCATTCCATATTAGATGATTAGCCCAAGTCAGTAAGTGGCTCCCCCTGGTGAATGTTACTGCTCCAGGAGCAGACATACCAATGATCCTTGCCAGACAGCTGGAAGGAAAGGACTTAAATCTCATACCTGGGAGAAAGGTTTTCTTTTTCCTTCACTGGATGTGAAAACAGAAGCATCACCCAGTAGCTGCTGGCACCCTGCTTTGGACCATGAAGAGAACCATCCCAAGGATGAACCTGCCCTCCAAGGAGGAAGGCTGAGCAGAACCATGGACAGAGCCTGGGTCCTTGACTTTATAGTAAGTATCCTACATACATACCAAGGAGTCCCATTCAGAGAGTGCATTTCTAAGTCTGATTTGTTCATAAGTCCAACAAAGTTAGCCTAGGCACCCAACTAAAACAATCGGCTGTATTGTATTGTAGTATAACAGGTTTCTAATATTTTTCATACAAATAATACATGAAAACACAAAAAATAAAGAAAACATTACATCTTACAGTACAGTACCTTGAAAAGTACAGAGTACAGTACAACAGTTGGCCCATTCACATCTTTGAAAGTTCACAACTTGAAAGTTCATACATAGGTGACTTAACTATAGTGAGCTACTGAACCAACCTCAGAGCCCACCTACCTATGGCTTCTGATTACGTGAGATACATGTTTAATTTCTTTTTCTTAAAAAATGAGGTTATTGTCACTTGTAGCCGAGAACATCCTGATAGATTCAAGTCTCTCAAAGTATTCCATCACACTTGAACTCCAAACCTGTGGACTCAACTGCCTGCCAGCCCTTTCCCTTGGCTGTTTCATAGCATCTCAGCCTCAATAAGTAAAAACTAATTTTGCTGTCTAGGGCCCCCTCATTCCCCGACACTAATCTTCCCTGTTTCTATGAAAGGTCCCACCATCTATCTGGTTGTTCCCTTTAAAACCTTGGATCACCTTTGCTATTTCCCTTTCTCTCACACTGAAAATCATCCCTTAGGGTGACAGTTCTCAAATTTATCCACCTCTTTGCCCACAATCATCTCTTGCATGTTTCACTGCAACAGCTTCTGAGTTGGTCTTCCATCTCCTTCTAACTCTTTCTGCACCCCACAGCCAGAGTGATCTTTCTAAAATACAGGTCTAAATACCTCACCCATTAAATCCTTTTCTTTCCTTTTTCCTTAGAATAAATTCTGAGTGCTTTAATATGTCATATAAGGCCCTTGGTGACTTGGCCCTCATCATCTTTCCAACCCCAACACCATTCCTTCCTTTCTAGCCTTCATTTCAGCAACATAGAACTACTTTTACTTTCCAAACTCCCTCTCTCTCATCTTCTGGCTGACGGATCTACCTAGAAAGTCCCCCTCCTCTTCCTGCTTCACCTGAATAACTCCTACTTGTTCTCTTGTGCTCATTGTGATGGCGCCTCCTTTGGGAAGCCATCCCTACCCCAAGACTGGATTATGTGCTCATCTTCATGTTCCCCCAACACCATCTCCTTATCCCAGTCATGCCACTCATCTCAGGGTTGAATTGTATGCTTATTTGTCTAGTCCCCCACCCAGACTGTGAGTTCCTTGGAAGCAGGGATTCTGGCTTACTCTCTGCACCTCGCACTATAATCGAGTGAGGAAAATCATTCTAAATTCAGAAGTGGATTTTGACCTCAAGATAAGGGTAGGATGGAATGGAGTGGAGGATAGCATGTTAATAGATACTTCCAAACATGGGGAGGAGTGATGGTAGCAGAATCTGATCTGCTTGCTAAGTGCGTTGAACAGGTTCATGTGGGTGGCAGGGCCACGCCAGGGGAAAGGACTACTGAGGCAGAAAATGTAACCCAGGCAAGAGATGAGCATGGCCTGGACCAGTGGGGTGGCAGTGGGGACAGGGAGAACCAGACAAACTTGAAACAGCTATGAAGTAGAATTAACAGAATTGGAGGATGTGAAGAAAAGAAAGGGTATAAGATGAGGTGAGCTGTAATTTGGGCAATGGAGGTCCTAGTGGTATCTTCATCTATGATGGAGAATCCATAAGGAAGACCATGACTGCAGACAGTGGAGAGCAAGATGAGGGGCTCTGCTTTGGTTATTCAGGGTTGTAGATGGGGAATGGAAGTTGAGAAGGAATGGACAGAGAGGTAGGAGGAAAATCAGGAGGGTAGACAGGAGTCATAGATTTGAGATAGTGAGAGTCAGAGAAGAAATGACTTGAGGCAAAGGGAAAATAGTGCTGAGCCTCCTTTGCATGGATGCTCCCATGACACAAACACAACTGCACTGGGGAGTTCTCTCTCTCTCTTTACGATTCCACGATTTTTTAAAAAAATGAAATATAACTAACTTACAGTATTATATTACATTCAGGTATATAACATAGTGATTCCATATATTTATACATTACAAAATAATCACCACTGAAGAGGGTTCCCTTGATAACAGTTTTATTTGATTTAAAAGTGAAACTCAGACCCTGACCCACCCACTAACCTTGGGGTTGTGGCAGGAATAGACTCGTCTTGGGGTTTGTCAGCTTCTTACCAGAATGAGAAATGGGGGAACATACAGACTTTTACCAGGACAAGAAATGGGGACCATAGAGACTCTTAGCAGGACTAGAAGTGGGGAACATATGGATCATGCCTATGTGGGCATGGAGAGGCAGGGACAGACCCAGCTACAGTGCTGGGTAGGGCTTGGCCACTGGCCAGGGAAGGGGTGACTGGCGCCATCCCCTGGACACATGCAGAAGGGAGAAGACTAATTCCAAACTGGTGTCAGGATTTGGCCTTAGAAGCCTGGGGCAGGGCAGAGAGCGCCGATCAGCTCAGTAGCTCTGAGGAGAAGACTTGTCCAGCTCACTGTGCTGCTCCTTCTGAGACTCTGTCACCACCTGCTGGGGGGTGAGGCATGTGAGGGGCACCCCCCACTCAGCACCACCTCCCTCTAGCTCCTTTGTGGCAAGGTGTACCCCCTCCCTCTCAACCAGTTGGGGCTCCCGTCTGAACATCCACCTCCATCTCCCTGTCTCACCCTCACCCCAAGAATCACTCACCCACAAACACCTGAAGATTACTTACACCAGGCTGGTGTCAGAAATACTATGGGAAATGATGGGGTCCTGGGCTCAAGAGGCCCATCTCACCTCCCCATCCCGGGTCTCAATGGTCCTGATCAGAACCATCTTCCGGCTGTGGGTTTCCTGGGGAGGCTCCACCTCAGGTACTGGAAAAGGCAGGATGAGAGGTTGAGGGGAGGAGTCTTGGGATATCCAAGCCCCTTTATCTCTTTGGGGTGGCAAAGAGTCGGACACGACTGAGCGACTGAACTGAACTGAATATCTCTTTGGGAGGAGACGGGTGGGGAGGGGCAGGGCCCGAGGATCAGGGGCAAGAACAGACTAAGACTCAGGCAAGAATCAGTTCCTGAGCAGAGCCATAGTAAGAGTCCAGTCAGGGTAGAAATGGACAAGGGGACAGACAGGTTGGAAGTCAGACGCGGAAGACTCACCAGTCGTCTTTATACTCAAGGATGCAAAGGAATGGATTGGCACGGAAATCCTGGGAACGAAACCTGTAGTCAGCTACTCGGCCTGGGGTTGGGGGTGGGGGGGTACTCTGGCCTTCCACCCGCCTCTCCTCCACCCCCACCCATCCCGACCACGCCCCACCCGCCCCTCACCGGCTCTCCTCGCCCTCCAGCAGCTTCCGGTAGGTGGCGATCTCGATGTCCAGGGCCATCTTGACGTTGAGAAGCTCCTGGTACTCTCGCAGGTGTCGCGCCATCTCCTCCTTGAGCTGCCGCAGCTCCTCCTCAAGCCGCGCGGCGCCCGCCTGGTACCCGCCGGCCTCCAGGGCAAACTGCTCCTCCAGCTCCCGCAGCTGTCTGAGCAGCGCCTCGTTCTGGGGAGGTGGGTGAAGAGGGGCTCAGTAGGGGGAACACAGCCTTCGTCCTCCACCCCCGGAGCCTGGGCGCGCAGCCTGGTCCTCACTGTGCCGCGAAGCCCGTCCACCTCGCACGTCAGGCTCTGGATCTGGCGTCGGGACTCATTCATCTCCTGCTTAGCCTGGCGCAGGGCCTCGTGGTTCCGGTTGGCGGCGTCCGACAGGTCGGCGTACTGCGGCGAGGGTGGCAACTCGGGGGTGAGCGGGCCAGATGGGCCCTACCCCGCCAGCGCCCCACCCTTCCAGGCCCTCCCAAACCCCCCGGCGCCCCCGCACCTTGGACTTGTACCACTCTTCTGCCTCCTGCAGGTTCTTCGCCGCGATGCTCTCGTACTGGGCTCGGATGTCCCTCAGCGCCGCTGTCAGTTCGGGCTTCACGGTCGCCTCCACCTCGACGTGCTGCACTTGCTGGCTCTCCACGCTCAGCTGCAGGTCTCTCAGCTCCTGTCGCCCAGGGCAAGATGCCGAGTTCACCGCACAGATCCCACGCGAGCCGCGCAGTTGGCGCGCAGAAAAGAGAAGAAACACTTGAATGAACAGAAGGGGGCGCCAGGGAGCGCAGGGCGCTTAGGCCTGCGCAGCTCGCGCCCCGCGGGTACTGTCATCGGCCAGGTTACAGGGGTGCATCTCCGCTGCTCGCCACCAGGTGGCGCAGGGGTGTGAGTCTAACCACCTGTAGACGGGGTGGAGGACGGGCGCACGTCTACTCAGTGAATCTCATTTCTCTTCCAACGCTCCACCCGCCACTCTCTTCATAAGCTTGTCCCCCAGCTCCAAAGAGACCACCCTCAACCTCCGGAAGTCGCACCTAACACCTGGGTCCACCCACCTCCTCGTGCAGCTTCTTGAGGAACTCAATCTCATCCATCAGAGATTCAATCTTGCGCTCTAACTCCAGACGAGACAGGGTGGCGTCGTCCACGTCCTACAGGGGGTGGCAGTGGGGGTTCGAGAGCAGGGAGGGGTTGCTTAGGTCGAGGAAGAGCCTGGCCCTCCGCGTCTGTCTCTGAGGGCTTCTGGTCGCCTCCCTTTGCCCACAGATGCCACCCTGGATATGCAGGCAGTGGGTAGGCGTGGGGATGGGGAGACCGAGCTCACCTTACGGAAAAGCACGAGGTTGTGCTCCGCATCCTCCCTCTTCCGAGTCTCTTCCTCCAACCTGGTGGGAAGAGTGTGCAGAAACTGAGTTCCGGGGTCACCACCCAGCCTGCAGACCGCGACCCCCAGGATCTGGGTCAGAGCTGCTACTGCAGTCTCTAGGGAAGGGTCTTCGGGCCCCATTTTTTCTGTAAACGGCTGGAAGCTGGGGTGGGGCCCCTTTGTATACGGGGGAGACATAGTAACTCCCCCTCCCTCACCTCCCCTGAGACTCAGCAAAGTGGTGATGGTGGGGGAGTGCCCGCCGGCGAGGGTGCTGCCTGCACATTCCCAGGCGGACGAGGCGAGAGGGCGGCTCCTCCCTCCCGGCGGCAGCCTCGACGGTCGCCGCCCAGCCCTGGCCCTGCCCTCTGACCTCTGCTTGAGCGCTGCCAGGTCCTCCGCCAGCCCGTCGCGCTCCACCTGCACCCGGTCGCGCTCCCGGCCCAGCAGCTCCAGCTCCCTCCTCAGCTCACGCAGCTCCTGCTGGCACAGTTGGTCGGCGCGGGCCGGCTCCTGGCCCCGGGCCTGGTTCAGCTCCCCGCGCAGGGCCGCGTTCTGCTGCTCCAGGAAGCGCACCTTCTCGATGAAGTTGGCAAAACGGTCGTTGAGCTCCTGCAGCTCCTGCTTCTCGTTGCTGCGCGTGGCCAGGAACTCCTGGTTGAGCGCCTCGGTCATAGAGAAGTCGAGGCGCTCCGAGGGCAGGCGCAGGAGGGCGCCCGTGCCCGCCCGGGGACCGCGGAAGCTGCCCAGGCGCACGGAGGAGCCGGGGGACGCCGAACCCAGCAGGCGGCTGCTCGAGAAGCGGGAGCTGGACGAATAGGAGAAGGCCCCCGGGGACAGTGAGGGCGGTGGCCCGAAGGTGCGGCGGTAGGAGGTGGAACTGACGCTGGACCGGAGGCCCGACGGGTGGCTCATGGCGGCCGAGGATGGGCAGTCACCGCAGGCTGAGCTGGTCCGGGCGCGGGGAAGGAGCCGCAGACCGCTGCGAGGCGGATTTATAGGCCTGCGGGTTCGGGGGGAGGGGGGGGGCCTGGGCTGCTCCTCCCACTGGCCTGACAGTGGGGCTATGTGGGGAGGGGGACGCCCCACCCCTGCGGAGCCGCGGGAGTGCTGCACCCTCCCTCCCTGGTGCTGGCGCCTGGCCCACTTGATTCCCCCTGTTGCTGACGGGGAAGGAAGCAGGGATGGCGACCACAGGCCACAGACAGGCAGGGGGTTGAGGGCCAGTGACTTCTAGCAAGCATCCAGAGCTGGAGCCTAGGATGGGAGGGCCTGACTTGAACTGGGGTGTCCCTGGCTGAAAGAGCTGGTCACAGTAAGGGGAATAGGAAGCCTGGAGGTTAAAGGGCAGGATTCACATGAGTAGGGAGGAGGTGGCCCAGGTGATGGAAATTCGGCCTGGCTTAGGCCCCAGAGTCTGTGACTCCACATGTCCCCTGAAGGCTAGGCTTCACTTTCAACTGCTGTCAGCTCACCCCTCCGTCACCACACCCAGGGAGATCTGGGGGCCCGGAGCGCAGAGGCAGAAGTGGTGGGTGAGGGAGGGCTGCTCTCTCCATAATCCCCAGGGCTCTGGGCAGGGTTGCTGCCTGGCGCCAGCTCTGCCGCTAATGGACTGGCTTCTTCCCCTCCCCCTCCCCTGGACACTTGGCCAGGGGGTTGCCTGCTGATGTCTCACCCTTAAAGACACAGATCCCAAATCCACCCCAGGCCCCAACAAGGTGGGCATATCAGAGGGGGCGGAGGGTCCCAGCTCTGGGTCCCACTCCAGACGACTGAGCCCTGCCCCTGCCGGAGGCCGAGTTCAGTGAGCCAGTGAGTGCTGTCTGTCTTTACTGGGTTCTCCCTCCCCCCAATCAACTGCTGCTCAGTCACGGCCTTACGGGAACCAGGGCCATTCCTGAGGTAGGAAGGGGAGGGGGCTGAGGGGCGGCAGCTGCTGCCAAGCCTGCGAGATGGACCATTTCCAGTGTTAAGGAGCGGCAGGTACCCAGCAATGGGCGGGGCTGGATGGGTAGAGAAGAGGAAAGAGAAGGTGCCCATCCCCACCGGTTCAGAGATGAGGAGAAAAAGGCCCAGAACAGAGCTGCACGTTTGTGCACACAGATGCAGAAGCATAATAGCACCATATACTTATGTGCACACAGGTTAGACACACACAACCATGCATCCCTTCATACCCTTCCCCACTGCACAATTAGTGGGGAGGCTGATGTCTGGCCTTTCCATGTCAAATGGCTTCCAGAACGCAGGCACAGGCTGCTCAGGAGTGGACAAACAGCGTGGGTGGTCTGCAGGAGCCGGGAGCTGAGGCCTGTTGGGCTTGCTGGGAGCTATGGGGCTGCTGCCGCCGGGGACTCCAGGGCTCTCCAGTAAGGACAGGTCTGTGTAAGACTGGCCTGGAGGACAAGAGCTGGGCGTCTGGGGAATCAGGTCTGGGACTCCGGGCTGGATCTCTGGACAAGGAGGGCGGTTGCCTGGCTGGCCATCTCCTCTGCACTGCAGGGCAGAGGAGCCTCCCCCCTTTGTATGGCCTCAGAGATGGGCCAACGCCCTCCCGCTCGCATCCCTGCCGCCTCCGGCTCCTCTCCAGGCCCCTCCTTCCTTCCGGCTATTAGTCTCTCCCTGCACTGCTGCCAGGTCCTTCTCCTTGATGAGTCTGGTTTGGTTGCCAGGGGAATGGGAAGAGGGAGGATGGGAGAGAGGGGATGGGATGGATGAACCAGGGCTGGTCTTGAAAGTGGGGAGGGGGTAGGGTCCTGCTTGGGCTAGGTCTGGGGGCCTGATAAGAATGAGGAGGGGACTGGGGAAGCCGGGGTGCTTTCTGCTGCAGCCCTGCGCTCTGACCCCCAGCTGCCACTGGAGCCCCATCCACCCCATCCTAGGCCCCGCCCCCCCCCTGTCTGCTGTCCCCGGAGCGGACTGGGAGTCTGAGCTGGTGCTTTTTGCAGAGGGGTAGGTCCTGGGGAGGACCAGCTCAGGCTTTACCTCTGTAGGGAACTGCTGGCAGACTCGGGGGCTGGCCTGAGGAGTTACGGGTGGGGTTCCCATCCCCTCACCTGCTTCAGCTCCCTGCTCACCACCCAGAAGCCTCGGAGTAAAGGGAAGCAGAGCCACCTCCGCAGGGCCTGGGAGCTGTCAGGCCAGGGCCTGACCTGGGTTTGGGAACCAGGCCTGCTGGCAACTCGGAGAAGACTGCTCCCCCACACTCAGAAAGAGTGGGGCCTGGGAGGTCTGGGGACAGAAGAAAGGTAGAAAAGTGTCACAGCTAAGAACCAGGGCTCTAGTCCAGCTGCCACATTTGCCATCTGATTCCAACACTCTGCTGTACAAATATAAGGTCATTATTGTAATATGTCCTCTCATGAGCTCCAGCCAAAGGGGGATAATTGTGGCTTCCACCTTAATGTTGTCGGGAGGGTTACATACATACATGTAAAATACTTAGGACGCATATAATAAAAGCTGAAATTTTAAGCTAATTTTACTACTACCAGTACTACTATTACAAATCTCTAGAGGGATATTGTCAGCCCCCAAATACAGTGAGGAAGGATCTGGACTTCCTTTGGATTGCCCCCACTAAGAGCAGTGGGGTGGGGAAAAGGGTGGCAGGAGCCCAGTACTTCCTGGCTGATGGAAGGAGGAAAGGGTAACTTCAGTGCCCTGGGCAAATGTGCACTGATTAAGACATGGACACTGGACAGACTGGCTGCATGTGTTTGATCGTGGCTCCTCAACCTAATTAGCTGTATGCTTTGAGTTTGCTTGAGTGATTTAACCTCTGTTCACCCCATTTTCTTTATCCATCAGTGGGGATGATAATAACTGTAACCCCCTAGTGTTGGAAAAGTAAATGGATTCCAGTATGTGAAGCACTTAGTGCCTGGCACGTAATACATGCTGTACAAGAATTAGCCAGTGTTATTAGTACCCCTCCTCCTTCTGCTGTCCTTGGCTGCTCTGGTGAAGACTCAACAGACAATTGGTTGTATTCAGAGTTTGCAAGCCAGGTATGCAATGAAGTTTAGGTTACTGGAAAGATAGCTGCTAAATGACAGGCCATGGACTCAAAGCTGGATGAGGAAGGGTGTGTAGGCAAGAGAAGGTGGGGTATTGGGCGAGTTAAGAGGTCCACAGCTAGACTTTCAGGTGAGATCAAAGAATAGTCACAGTATAAAGGGGTCGAAAGAGGCCCTGAGAGTGTAGGATGCTGTTTTCAGAGAGCAGGATGCATAAATTCGAGATTCTAGGCCTGGGACATTTATGGATAAGATTCCCAGGGTGTTGCTAATGGAGTGGGCAGCTAAGGCTAAGGTGGAATGGAGGAAAAATCATGGAAGAAGAGATCAGGTCACCAAACCAGGCACTTACTCGCTGTGTGACCCTGGGCAAGTTACATGTCCTCTCTGAGCTTCCATTTTTTTATCTGTAAAACAGGAATGATGATACCTTCTCGCAGAGGTGTCATGAGATCTAATTGAGGTATTGTACATGAAGCAATTAACATGTCGTGAGGCTCATAATAAGTGCTCAACATTGTTGAATGCCTTTTCCCCTCCTACATGACAGACAGTAAACAGACATGCAGAAGCAATGACACAGCCCTCATTAGTTGTATCTAAGTGTCAGCTGGGGTCTCCCTGCCCCTCAAGGTCTAGGACTGACTCAACCTCCATTCCACATTCTGGGAAATTTCAGTGTCCTCCCCCAGATCTCCTTGCTTTCCTGCTTTCTTCATCTTTACATCCCTAGATGCAAGGCCCTGTTGTCCCTGAATTGGCCGACTGTACAACCAGCTATCCACAGTGTCCCACATGTGGAACTTGGCACCGTCCCTTGGTTCCTGTGATCCCCACCCCATCACTTAGGTAGGAACTGAGGCTCAGGGGGACAGAATTGCCGATCTGAGGTTGTATAGTGAGCTGATTATGGCTCCCTCTCCAGGAAGATACATCCTGGTTTTTCACGGCCTGCTGGTGTTCTGTGTTCTGGGCATGTAGGAGCGAGATGAGGCCCAGCCAGAAGGAGTCCAGCTCCATTCCAGGTGGGCTCTCCCAGGCTGGCCCAGCTTCAGGATCCCCACTGACAGAGTGGCTCCACCAGAGTGGAATCCTTTCCCCATGATCTCCATTTTGGAGCTCCACTCCTCCCAGTTAGGGAGCACCCTGGGTATCTTTTCCATCTCATCACTTCTCTCGCTGTTGTGGTTCAGTCGCTAAGTCGTGTCTGACTCTTTGTGACCCCATGGACTGCAGCAGGCCAGGCTTCCCTGTCCTTCACTATCTCCCGGAATTTGCTCAAACTCATGTTCATTGAGTCAGTGATGCCATCAAACCATCTCATCCTCTGCCAATCCCTTCTTCTCCTGCCCTCAATCTTTCCCAGCGCCAGAGTAATTTCCAGTGAGTCGGCTCTTCGCATCAGGTGGCCAAAGTATTGGAGCTTCAGCTTCAGCATCAGTCTTTCCAGTGAATACTCAGGATTGATTTCTTTGGGGATTGACTGGTTTGATCTCCTTGCTGTCCAAGGGACTCTCAAGTCTTCTCAAGCCCACAATTCATTTCCTATGTGCTAAGCATTTTACACATTATCACTTTTAATCCTCACAGTAATGCTATGACATAAGTACTGACACTATTCCCATTTTACAGTTGAGGAAATTAAAGCATGGAGAAGTTAAGCATCTTGCCCAAGGTCACACAGCTACTGATAGTAAACTAATCATCTGTTTATATGTCTGACTCTCCTGCTCCCTGACAATACAATATTTGAGGGCAGCATTCACATCTCATTCACTTTCATTTCCCTAGTGACTAATACAGGATCTAAGTCAAACAACTGTTCAACTGAAGGGAACCCAGAGGCGTCTGAAAAAAATTTTTCCCATGGTTGTGGAGTCTGGAAAATAGAGA